GAAAATAAAAAGCAGTAACGAAACAGGAATAAAATATAAAAGGAAGAATAAATAACGTCTAATGAAATGATGATGATTAGAGAGAGAGAGAGAGAGAGAGAGGGGGAGAGAGAGAGAGAGAGATTTATAGTGATATGACGAGTTTTGGTGGTGATTATATGATATATGATATATATATGGAGGAGGTGGCTTTCGTTCCTTGGGAAGCTTTATCCTGCTTAGCATTGACCTTGAAATTGTGTCGCCCTATTGTTCCCTCCGCTGACTGCACAACCTCCGTTGCCGGGGTTTACCTAGCGAAGCGACGGACCGCCAACCATCCGTGTCCCGTGTGCGGAAAACACTACGTCAACGAGGGTAGTCTTAGGAAACACCTGGCCTGTCATCCTGAGACCAGTCAGCTTAGCACAAGCTTCAGGATGTGGCCGTGCTCGGTGTGCCAAGCCGTCTTCACTCATGAGAGCGGTAAGTATGGCTCATTTCTTGCTGTGACAACACGTTGTCGATATATATATAGATATATAAAATCAGTGTAACTTTATCAATTTTTTTACTCCTATATGTATATACATCATCTTGTCTTCAGTTACGATATTTTCGTTCTGAGAAGTATTTACATATATCTATAATTCCATTTTATTCGACGTCCATAAGGACGTCTTTGGTGTTTAATCGTATTCGTTTTTACACAACCGTCATTGTACTGACCGAACGAACTCTATCGAGATCGCGTCTGCTTTCTTTTGGCTGTTAAGGTTTGTTGAGTCACATGGAGCACATGAGGATGGACCCGAAACATCAGTTCGCTGCGCAGTACGTTTTAAGCCGCGCGGCCGCCGAGAGGCGGGAGAGGGAGATCCTAGCGTCTTCGAGTTTAGGTAACCGAGAGCCACAACCACACTTGTCTAATCTCATATATATATATACACATAAACATACATGTGTATATATATATTTGTCTGTGTGTGTTCGTTTAGTATTATTCATTAAGCGAGTTGTGTGTCGGAATGTCTAAGATCGATGGCGGATCGATCGTTGAACGATGGTTATACACAATACAATTGTCTCGTTCGTCCCGACAGGTGCGGGTTTGGGTGTGTTGGGAAGCCAAACAGGCGGACCGCAAAATTTGCAAC